CCCCCCCCCCCAGCCTCTGTCTGTTTCCTGTGGTCTGTTTCCTGTGGTCACGTGAGAGAGTCTGATGGCGACCAGGGGGACTGGAAAAGCTAAAAGGCCTACTTCTCTAGTGAACAAGCAACTAGCTCTGCAAGGCATTGAAGGAGCAGCAGGCTTCGAGGGCCCCTTTAAGGAAAGGAAAAGTGAGAACAGAAGGTGAGCTTTCTTCTTCTGGGAAGAGCTTCCTGCCCTGTAACTGCTCCAGGCATTCAGAGCCATGGCCTGAGGAAAAGAGGGAGAGAGGTCAGTGAGGGCAGTGGTGCCAGATAACACTCGTGACCCTTCCAGAAAGCACGGACACACATTCTACAGGTCGTGTGAGTCTCTAGGAAGAGGACCTGAAGGAAATTCAAACTAAGGTAAATTACAGCCCAGCAGAACTAGAGAAACCCATGCAAGCACTGATTGAAGTAACATGCAGAGAGGGAAAACAGAGTTTAATCCGTAAGAGACTGTGTGTTTGTGTCTGTGTGTATGTTCTGTGTGTGTACAATGTAGAAAGTAAATCCAGATTCAGTTTCACATCTCTCAACTTCCGGAAGCATCGGCACTCTTGATAAGTTTCGGCCTCGAAGCACCAGAGGGCGCCAGAGAAGGTGGAAATGTTTGTTTTCCTGGAACCACTCAGTGTTAGAAATTATCCTTCTGATCTTTATATAGAAGGATGCTTGCTATTAGTGCTCTTGATTTTTAAAAGTGAAATGACTATGAGCATAAGTTTATTGGCTAACACTCTGGGGCAACGTGGGTTGTTCACAAGTGAAAAGCTGAAATAAGTGACCATGTTGGAGATGCAGAGGTAAAGGAGACTGTTAGTGATGAATTCATTCATTTGTCAAACGCCTATTAGTTGCTTTCTGTCTGCCTGGGTGTGTGTTAGGTGCTGTGTTAGGTGCTGTGGGTACAGAGATAAATGAACCTACAATTTTCCATTGAACCCATGGGTAACATCAAAAGTCAAAATTTTCATAATGCTTTATTTTTTTTCTTTGCAACTCTCATTATCCTCTTCGCCTTTTCCCTCATTATTGTCCTCGGAGAAAGTCTGGGTAATGGTTAAGCACAAAGGCTTTGGAGTAAGATGGCTGGGCTTGATTCTCAGTTCTTCCACTTTCTGGCATTAACCTCCTGGTGCCCTAGTCCCCTCGTTTGTAAAATGGGATGATTATAGCACCTACTTCACTGAGTGCGGAGAAGATTAAATGAGATAATCCGTGCAGAGTGCGTGGAGCCGTGTCACATTTAAGGGCTCAGAGTCTAATTCTCATTCAGACACTGCCCATCCTTGGGAGTCCAGCTGAAATCATAGATTGAGAGGTTGGGTCCCAAGGCATTTTTTAACGTAATTATGCAGGCCAGTAGATTCTTTGTTTCCATCATTTGCAACTAAAAGAATCCTGACTGGTACAGCAGCTATATCGATTTATTTCTTAATTTGTGTCAGTTACTGTGCTCAGTGCTTTCCATATCTTACCTGTCTTATCTTTCAATCTTCGTGATAGGTCTATGAGGCAGAGGTGAGATAGGTACTAATGTTATTCCCATTTTACAGATGAGGAAACAGAGTAGAAATCACCACACGACTCATCAAAGATCACACAACTGATAAATGAAAGACTCAAGATCTGAATCCATTTCTAGTCTTACTCTTACTATAAAACTGATATTCCCAGAAAGGATACAAATACTCCCTGGCATAACACGTTTAAAAAGTATGACCTCGGGCCGGCCCAGTGGTGTAGTGGTTAAGTTCGCACATTCCACTTCGGCGGCCCAGGGTTCGCCAGTTCGGATCCCAGGTATGGACATGGCACCGCTTGGCACACCATGCTGTGGTAGGCATCCCACGTATAAAGTAAAGGAAGATGGGTACGGGTGTTAGCTCAGGGCCAGTCTTCCTCAGCAAAAAGAGGAGGATTGGCAGCAGATGTTAGCTCAGGGCTAATCTTCCTAAGGAAAAAAAAAAAAGGATGACCTCTATCATTTGTGGCTCCAGGTGACAGTGGCACGTATCCACACCACTCGAACCTACACTGACTTCTCCTTCTCCTTCCTGAGTATTGGCCAGTGTCACTATAATCAGAGCCACTAAGTTTATCCCCCAATGACCTACTATGCTGTCCTATTTGCTAACTGCCTTCTAGAATGAACATCCCATGAAGGTGGGACTTTGTTTTGCTCACTGTTATTTCCCTGACACCTAGGACAAAGCTTTACACAGTGTAGGAGCTAAATAAATATTTGCTGAATGAATGAATGAACAAACATGGGTTTAGCTTTCCTTGACCACTTTGTACAACTTAGAGAGCAGCACACTTGAGAACATTGCACACTTGATAACATGGGTCAAAAATCCTTTTTTATTCGTTTGTTTCTTCCACATTGTCACACTGTAGGAGCTAAATACACACACACACACGCACACACACACACACACACACGTGTGTGTGTTGACTGATAAACACATCAACTCTACCTTTAACATGAGTCATTCCCTCAGATTCCAGAGCAGGATCGTATGAGTGCCTGGTTAGTACGTGGAAACTGAGTGTGAATGTTTCCAAACTCCACTCTAGTCTCCATCCCTAAGGACGAGATGGGGTCTACATTCCCGGCACTGTTGTGATGGGATTGGCCCCAGCATGGAGCCTAGAACATCTGGGGTCTCATCCTAGCGTTGCCCCTTCCCAGCCATGTGGCCCTGGACAAATCCTTTAGCCTCACTGAGCCTCCATTTCCTCAGGTGTAAAATAGAAATAATCTCCCAGTTTTTTGTGAGGATCAAATTATATGGTAATAAAAAGACTGGAAAACCAAGCAAGATATATAAGGAAAGACATAAATTGAATTCATAACATTCCTGGGTAAAATAGTTTATAAAATCTCTTTTTTTTTCTTTCTTTTTGTGAGGGAGATCGTCCCTGAGCTAACATCTGTGTCAATCTTCCTCTATTTCGTATGTGGGATGCAGCCACAGCATGGCTTGATTGTCAGTGTCACGATGCAATGTACACACCAGGATAGATGCGGAGAGGGCTGATGGCCACTCTGAGTTTATTGTAACCAGCGTTTCAATATATACATAGCTTACATCTGTTAGACATACATAGGTGTTCTGGATGAAATAATTAGCAAATGCCAAGAATTCTTAGTGATTTCTCAAGGAGCCCTCCCTCGGCGTCTGTTTTGATATTATCATGTTATTGCTGTGCTCGTATATTTTTATCTCGGAGCAGGCAAGGTCTCTTGGGCAACAGTCCCTCCTGCTCCTGCTATCGGTATCATTTCTCCATCTGTGCCCCCGGGCGGCCGATGCCTGTCTTCGGTTGCCTCCCCCTGGAGGTCTTACCCGTCATTGGCTAACCGGCCTTCTCACCTCCGGGTCACAGTTTGTTGGCAAGCTTTTTCCAGTGATTATTAACCCTTCCTGTGTCAGGGGCAGCTACATTTCCCTGCTTTTTGTTTTTTAAAGCAAGGAAGGCGTCATGTTGTGCTGAGGCCAGAAGGCCCATCATAACCAATGCTTGCTCTTGTTGACTTTGTTGTTTTTTCAGGGAGCACAGCAGATGTAAAACATAAACTATTAACATGGATAATATCAAAATCACACCAGCATTAACAAATATGCATAAATTGAGGCCCGAGAACCAATTGGAGGGCTCTAGCCAGTGTAACCCATTCTCAATGTCTTGAAATATTTGTTGAGAGAACACCTTATGTACTTCTTGTAACTGCCTCTCTAACCGAGCTTGTAGCCCAGTGATGTCATTGGCCAGGGAGGTACTAAATGCCCCCTGTAAATGTTTTTTATTTCTTGCCAAGATGTCAGCGAGCTATTATACGGTAGGGGGGTAACGCATTGCATGGTAAATTGCCAGTCACATTTTAATTTCATATGCATATCTAATGCATTTTGCTGCTCTCCCAGCCACTCTACTGCTGCCTCTAATGCCTGCAATCGTGACATTAGCCCTTTATCAATATCCACCTGTGTCTGTAATTCCTGAGTGACATTTACCAAGACGGACTCCACCTTATGGGCTGTTTGAACACTGTTAACCAAGGCAGTAGTAGCTGTAGCAGCTGATGCAATGATAATCACCGCGGACACAATGAACGCGATTAGTGTAGCCATAAACCGCTTAGGGCATAATTTTCTCATGGACCCAAGGAGGATATGGAGAGCATGCTCTTCGGACCATGTCCGATTTAGACAAACAGGTAACCAAATATGTGCTCTTCTTTTTAACACCATTACATAGGTCACATTCAATGAGGTTACATTATAATGTGTTAAACAATCAGAATACCAATATGGGGGAGAAATATTAATTACATACATACTAGAAGATTCTTCAATAGTGGGGACATTTTTTTCCCCATAATAACACATAAGGATGCATGGTACAGATCATAACGGTATCAGAAACATTTTGAATCAGAGTCAATGAATAATTGCCACTTGCATTCTCATATTTACCATGGGACAATCGTGATATAAAGGCAACCCAATTCTCCATATTCCTTTGTGAAGTGGGCTGCACACTGTCTCATTGTGAGATAGTTGTAAAAGGGGTCCATATAGGCCGTGTTTGCTCCATGTTATAGGTTTCTGACTTGATCTGTTGAAGGCCCAAGTATAACTGTCACTCAAAAGATGTCCATGAGGTCCCCAATCCAGCACGTTGGCCCCAAAGATGTTGCCCCACCTTGGATATGCTGTACGGCAAGGGGACCACTGTACTGAGTAATGTTTGTAACGCCAATCAGTTTTTGGACGGCAAATTGGGATGGAAGGAACTTGTGTGACATTACTTTTGTCTTCGTAAGATGTTGATATAGCAGTAATGTATGTCAGATTGGCTGCCTGTTGTCCTTTCTTAGGTTGGTAATACAAATACATTTGTTCCTGAAAGGTGACACATGTTGTGCTTTTGTTTTGATAAACCATACAAAAAGGTAAATCGTTAGCATACATCACCAGAGGTTCTTCTCCCTTTTGGTGCAGGCCTGTATGTTGTTGTGGGGGTACCCAGGTTCCTCCTGTCCAATCAGAATCGTTAGAGGACAAAGGGGGATCGGCATGCCACCAAGTAACTGGAGTAAAGAGAGGAGGATTAGGAATAAAGGCCCAATATGTGAGATTTTCATTCTCTGAAATCACCTCAACATGCATTAGAGAAGAAAAGAGAAAAAAGAAAAAAACTGATTTACTTATCCGTTTGTCCATTTTCTGGTCATTTCAGAGCAGGCCGTGCATGTTTTGACGGAATCCACTCAACGTTTATCTGTCAAAACACAAAAAGCCCCTCTCTTCCAACACTTAACCATAAAAGGGCCCTCCCAGATATCCGTATAA